CACACATTTGACAGAGTTTTCGTTGGTGGTGGCGAGATGTGACCTTGACAGAAGATTCTAAGCGGTAGGTATCCATGGACAATGCCCTGCTCATAACTCTACAACATTTCATCCCCTCCTGAAGCTTCCTTTCTAACCCGCCTGGAAGCTCTCTACCAGTAGGATCTTCGCCTTGAGTTCCCTCCTCGATACCTTTTCTGAGGCCGGCCCCCTTGCGTTCGTAGCCATGCCTAGTGAAATGACACAGTTTTACCACAAGGTACTCTTCCAACCAAAGCAGAAGCTAGAATGGATGACAGGAGAATCTGGGTTGAAGCAGCTCTGAGTTGTTCACTACGAAAATTCCGGATGAAAAGCACAAGAAAGAAGACGAGTCAGTGAATCGTTACCGTACTGAAGAAGATGGACTCTGTCAAGACGGGCGGTGGGCCTCTGATACCCTGAGTTAGTTTCTATCGACAAGCCTAGGCTTCTGGTAAAGAAGAGATGACAGATTCGAGCCAGCTGCTCTGTGTAGCAGTTTGATGAAAACCGTCAATGTAGCTTGACCGATCGTCATCACAACTCTACGAAGGACTGGTTACGAGTCTAAGAACGAAGATTTTCAGTGTCTTCCAGTCTACAAGTCATACCGTACTCATTCTCAGCGGAACTGGAGGAAGTAACGAGGTGGTTGTCCAAGCTACTGGTGGATGTCTCCATACAAGAGTGTCTTCATGTATCCAAAAACCGTGGCAGCCAAAGCACAGAAGAGACCAAAACAAACGCACCACAGGCAACCATGTTCTTGTTGACCGAGCTAGATATACGGTAGAAATTGTGATTGTCACTTATTGTTAGCAAGCTCCCTGAACGGTACCCCTTCGTCGTCCAGACGGTCGCTCAGACCAAGATGGAAGACATCGCTACTCACCTCACGCCAGAACGCCCTTCAACCGGTGGAATAGCTAGTGACGTTGCTAGCGTGAAAAGAATTCCTTGGACAGAGCTTTGGCTGGAAATCTTGCACGCATGTCCGAAACCTGCCATTAGAAGAATTCCGTAACGGTACCGTGCCTGTTTCGCTCGTAGAAGCAAGGAGAAAGGCAGCTCACAGTAAAAAAACAAAATGATCATTAGAGACATAATCAAACCAGCTCGTAAATGCAAGAATCCGTAAGGTACACACAAAAATAATATGACAAGTAACGTAAATCAACACACGAATAAGATATGTTTCGAGAAGCAGAGCAAGGCGTGCACGAAGTTCCTCAGTGTCGTATAAGCTTGAAGTATAAGATCACAATAATGACAATGACTAGAACGAGGATGAGGGAGGCTATTATGAACCTTTGTTTGTACATCCTGTGCAAAAGTTAGAAAAGTTGACGAACATCCAGGGAGAAACGCACTGTCTGATCATCTTCTTTATTGTCCCCGATGCGCGGTCAATGGAAGTGTCTGCATTATTGAGCTATTACAATACATGAGTATAAAATTTGACCATTTCCCTGTAGGCCAACTCACCGTTCCCCTTGCGTTTTCGATTTGTTCTCTTTGTACAACGAGCGCTCTCAGTATGTCCGCTCCTGCGTCCTCGGTCTCCAAAGCAAGTCTTGTTGAGTTCTGTAACCTCTGACTTGCGTCGTTCAGTCTTTCGTGTCCAGATAACAGCCTTGTCCTTTCATTTGCTCCATCTTCGTATGGCTGGTCAGAGGAGGGGTTGTGTCCATCCATCCAGTCTGCCCGAGAAGCTTTGTAGTGCATATCCCTAGCTAGTTTTTTATAGCGCTGCAAGTCCATCTTTGCCTGTCTGGCTCGGCTTGCATACTGTGGTCTTATTGAAGTTGGAATCCCCTGAACCTCGGCCTCTAGCTGTGATATCTGTGAAAGAACGAAGACATAAAGGTGTATTCCTCTTCTGAAGTAACTGAAAACGCACCAAATCATCAGCGGAATCAAGGTCCATTTCGACCCGTCGAAGAGTTGCTTTGCGTTGCTCTGCGGTGGAATTGTTGACAATCAACCCGAAATGGGAGAGAATGGGTTTTTTTACATACCACCGCGCTGCTCCTGAGCATCTTTTTCAAGTTTTTGCTTGACGCCACGGATAATGTGTTCGTAGTCCTGATGATAGGACTCAAAAAGAGTAACTGGAGTTGAGTCCATAGCAAGACAGGTAGAAGTTATGGTCCAAGTTCAAGTTGCATGCGCTGACCAGTGACTCCAAGCTTTGTGTTTCGTGTGACAATTGCGTTCCAGGTCTCATTGTTTCATACTCCCATTATTACTACTTTCAACTGAACAGGCCACGGTACATCCTATCTGGGGTTCTTTGCTTCTGTATCCTTTGGTTCCGTCGGATTTACGTTCAAGTCAGCAAGATTCCATCGGTCGAAAGACCCTCGGCGCAAGCTATGGAATACCAACTCGAAGCAAGCAACCGAGAACTGATGGCGACTAGTTCTGGCGCGAAGGAAATTTACCGACAATCCGTCGAAAGTGTTCTCTACGACAACTTGAAGTTCCCATCCTCTCGTACTCTGCTTCACACTCCGAGAGTCTCAATGTTACATGCCCAAGTTATCTAAATGTATGATGCAAAATTCCCGGCAAACTCCTCGAGACTTTCGAAGGCCATTTTTATCATCAGGCTCCTCAGCCCTGCTGTTAGGAACCCCTGATAGATCAGTGGAATCTAAGCCTGTGTAACTCCAATAGTAAACAGCAAGTCACCGACATCATATGAACGGCTTGGAGTGACTAAAGATCGAAAGGAGAAATTTTTGGGACTTCTTATAGAACCGAAGAGCCGAAGAGTTTCTCCCCTTTCTCTATCATTGCAAAAAGCACAACAGACGTCTGACTACCCACCTCTTTGACCGCCAGGTCCCCATAAATAACACTCTTATCTGCTTTCAACGCTGATGATGTCTACAGTGTTCATCAAAGACCGTGACTTAGATCATCCGCATTCTGGTACTTTGATGATTCCTTTGCAGGAAACACCAACCCACGGTGTTCCGGACGACCAGGTCATAAACGAAAACGTACTTCTCCCGAGTGACAGGACCAATGCTTGTGACGAACTTTAAGCTTAAGACCCAGATTAGTTGACTCTGACCACCGATATCAATACCCCCACTTCCTAGACCTTGAGGTCAGTAACTTCCATCGAATATGTGGCGCTCTAGGATTGAAATGAGTTTCACAGATCGAAAACTGGGCGCATGCAATCGACAGGCATGAACGAGAATCTGCAAGTTAGTGGAGAGTACTCCCTTCGACAACTCGTGTTTCGTACGTTCGCGTCAGCCATCTCTCAGACCTCGAATCTCCACACTTCAAGCTTGGAATTCGTATACGACGTCCAATCTGACATACCAGACAAACTCCTTGGACATTCTTCTCATGTCCGAGACATTCTCAAATGCCTCATCAACAATGCTCTCAAGAACTTGACCTTAGGGGGGTCGGTACGGCATGATGATGGACGCGTGACAGTCAGCTGCAAGCTGCTGGAAATGACCAACGAAAGTGTTTTGCTGCAGTATTGCGTCAGCGATACAGGCGACGCAATCCGACAAGATAAACTTAGTTTACTGTTCGAGTACTTTCAGGCGGAAGACCCGGTGGGTGCCATAAGCTCGACCTACTTCAAATTCACTCACTTGTCTGTTTCAAGCCCGATGCTCATGATCCAGCCGTCAATTCCTTTCTTCACCGGGCAGCGACTAGAGCTCGCGCTATAGGGGGTAACATTTGGGCCTACTCCGAGTCAAATAAAGGCAATCGAGTTTTCTTCACCAATCACCCTCAAGTTATTCGCTCTTTCAATCCCACCTGTCTCGATTCATCATCTCAATTCCCCAATAAAACGATACTATTCATTGACTCGCTCCACGATCAAACAGGTGTCGCGAACCAAATAAGAAGCTTCGGCTTAAACACGGTAGTGGTGCACGATGTAAAATCTTTGACGGACCCAGCTGGGCATCCACGACCAGATGTGGTCGTGACAGATTCTGTAACTGCTGTACGTCTGTCACTCGTACTGGCTTAAACTGACTCCTTTTCTGATGTACTGGTACACAGGTTGAAAGGGCCCGTGCATTTGATCATCTCAGATGGGTTCCTATCATATTCCTTGCATCACAGATACCATGCCAAGATCGTAAGTACTGGGCAAAAGTTCATCTTTCTTATACTTGATCATCAAGACGATTGCCTGTGCAGTAAAATGGTGCATAAGGAACAATATCCTCAGTCATCAATACCTCACTACACCCTCCTCTGATGAAAGTTTATTCACCGCATTGGTCGCCGGGCTCTCAACGCACATCGAGCCTTCAGGGCCTTCATACAATATCTTACTTGCCGAGGATAATCCTATCCACAGAGGGGTGATAACAAAAATACTCGAGACGTACGGCCACAAATTACAATTTGCAGAGGACGGATTGGCAGCTGTGAAGATTCACAAAAAGGGCTGCGAAGAACGCTCCCAACGGTTCGATATCATCTTGGTGTGTTCCAAAATTCTAGTTACCGTCAATTCCTATAACGGAACGTTCAGATGGACATCGTGATGCCAGTCATGGACGGCTTCGAGGCAACCAAACAAATTCGAGAACATGAGAAGAGGATGGGATTACCTCTAGTACCAGTCATTGGATTAATGGTGGTGTCTGCTTGTTGCGTGAACTTTTTTTGTCCACTGTTTCAAGAGCTTATGCTTACACAGGCGGTATTTCAAAAGCTGTTGAGGTCGGGATGTCCACCTACTTGCCCAGTGCGTATTTCGTCCAGACTTATGATTACTTGTCAAGTGCTAAATGTCAGATATTCATCATCAGAGGCACTCATCAAAAAGGATTTGATGCACACTATAGACCAGCTTCTGAGCAAGGAAAATGGCGGCATCCTGAGCAAAAGATGTGTTCCCTTTTACTGATATGTACTTAAGGGGTCTCCCGGTGTGTATGACGCTTGATAGGGGACGGTACTATGAAAGTTAGTGTGGCGAAATGGCCGAGTGGTCTAAGGCGCTAGAATCAGGTGAATCACCAATCTAGTCTTTCGGGGCGTGGGTTCGAATCCCACTTTCGTCATTACTTTTTGTTTGTCGCTGTTCGTCGTAAAACTCGCTACGATATACCTAGACTCGTCACCAGCATTACGCAGTGTTTGGCAAGCAAACATGACGCAACAAATAGCGGAGCTTTAAAAGTTGCGCTGAACGAAGCCTGCGGAGTTCGAAAGCGGATGGTCACGAGCCTACGATATACCCGTCACTGGACTAATGACACAGTTCTACTCTCTACACTAAGACATGCCGGCTTTCCCAACGTACACATTATAGTTATCTTCGAAGAAGATTTGAGTAATCAAACACAGATCGACAAACTTGAAGGTATAACTTACACATTTCCGTATAGTGACGGTACTCAAACAACCCCTGTGTGGACGTTTCAACGATTTGCGCCTTTTCCGACGTGTCTAGAGATGGTGCCTTGTACATTCTAATGCCGATCGGCCCTTCATCTCCTTCCTGAAGGTTCATTTTGATTTTTGCTACGCCATAAGGCAGTTCACGATAGAACTGGTTGCGATAGCCAATCCATATCTCTACATCACAAGAGGACGTGCAGTACACCACTGCCCATATTGCATCCTACCAATCCATCAGCTAAAGTCCGAATAGGGAGAATCCTGAAACTCACATTCGCCCAGTCCCATCCAGTAGGCTTGCCTAGTGGATCATTCAATGCATTTACACTCGCAGAATGTGGACGACACCAGAAATATACAGCATCCTCCTTGAAGCCGCGAGCGCGACCAAAATACCTCGTCAAAGAAACGCAGTTAGAAAATTCGAGGACCGCGTACAGTAATCGAAGGCCAGATGCCTGTCTTGAAGGCTTCAATATAATACTTGGACATCTCCAACCAGGGGTCATGCGGAAAACCTGTCGTCCATGTCGTACCTACAGCATGATTGCATAAGTTCTGGTTATGGTTGGTATGTTGAATAGGACGTCATTACAAACGAACCTGCTGGTTGTTGGCCAGCACCGTCTAGTGGCCCAAAACTTTTCGATGGACTACTTGTTAGCCGCAACTGAAAAAAGCAGACCTGTGAATAACACACTAATTTGATTCGCCATAATCGTTCCTGTCGACAAGATCGGTGATTCACTTAAACAGATCAGTCGAAAGTGTCCGTACCATGTCAGCATTTCGACAAAGGTTAGTTTGTCTCGCATATTCACAAGTTGTTCCCAACGATTGACCAACAGCCAATCCTCTCCTCGAAGATAAAAGTTCTTATAGTCATAATGGGTACTAGAATGCAGCAGTTACTACAGCTGAGAGGCGTACTCCAAAAGAAGGCTCACAATATCCACCCACTGACTGTAGTGGCGTATTTGGATCCCAAAATATCCATATCTGTGACAAAAACCATCAGAAGTAGGTTTGGAACAAAGCTCGTCCGAGAAACTACTTACACCAACGATCGTCATCGGTCTATGAATTCGTTACTAGTCCTTGAGTTAGAAATTCGACGGTCTTGGAGATGAACTCACATTCTTTGAGTAATTCCCTTGTGGCCACGCACACCCCCAACTATCAGTGTGGAATCATTTCACGATGAAGCCGATCAGCTTAAACATCAAAACGCACCAATACCAAGAATCAAAAATACCCCAACTCCTCCCCTCCCTCAACTCCTGATAATCTTCATAAGTAAAAGGCATCAAATACCCACCCGTCTCGTTCCTCACTCGCTTCCATCCATCCACACCTAAACAAGTTCCTGAATAACTCGATATCATCGGCTTACCATCGTACTTGAATTGCGCAGGGTGATCACGGAAATAATTGACCATGTCGATCGTTCTCGACACATCGCATGGGAAAGCAGTGTAATCGAACGAGATAAAGAGTTTGATCGCGTTTGCTTGAGGGCGGCGACTGGTTGTCGTTGCGGCTTCGAGAGAAATGGCGGCGTCGTAGGCTGATTCGAGTTGTTCGAACTGCCAATAGTCGCTACCGATATTGAGAGCGACAGCATCTCTAACACCCACAAAAACGTTCAGGTGATGAATCATGAGTTATTATGGGAAGACCTAGGGTGATCGAATATGACAATGTCCTTACATGCCAACCTCTTGCATTTGCTCAAAGTCCAGGTACCAAGAGGAAGAAGTGTAAGAATAACTGGTCAAGGAATTAGATGAGTGCTAATCACAGGACGCGTCGATTGGACATACGTATCTATACGCCATAATCAGCTGTTGATCTTGAGAGTATGCATAATACGGCGTGAAGTCAATGCAGAGACAAGAATAAATACCTACTTCCAACAATCTATCATAGAGACACGCGTCAAAAAACGCGTCCGACATTCGAAAAAACGCGCATATACTCATACGTACATGATGCATGAAAACATATTTCTCCTTCGCCTTGGGTGGTTCAGCCTCCGCAGTACTGGGACGAACGTTTCCGGAACCTTCCAGCTTCGCTTGCAACAGATCTTCTATTCCGATATTCCAGAGTGGTACATCTATCCATGAATCTCTTGGGAAAACTTGAGCATTATCATCATCGTTGATCCAACTTGAGCCTGAGCTTGAGACGGCGTCTCTTGCGGTATGTACAGAGTCTTTGAGGTTTTGTAGGCTTGAAGAATACTCATACGCCTGAGAAAGGACGACCGAGAAAGAGAGAAGCGGAAGAGGGGGAATGTTGTTGATGCCGTGTGGTAGGGGACGGACCAACGTTGTTGATGGAGGGGAGGCTTGGTGGCGCGGCGTCCTTATGTTACTGTCTTTTTTCACTTTTACCCTTCGGTCTATGTAAGCTAAAGGCCGGACACTTTGGTATTAGTATTGATTGACGTCCTCGGCTTCTAATACCTAAAGTACGAATGTGTCGATATCAGATATCGCGAAGAAACACTAATACCAACAATCCAGTGGATCCACCCATAACCAACATGTCATCTACCAAAAATACCAAAAAAAAAAAAACCAACTTTGATCAAGAAAAAGAAAAGAATTTTTCATACACTACACAATCTGAACGTTTTGTAAAAGGAAAACAAAATTGCCGAGTACAAGCCTAGGTCTTACAGGCCTATGTGCTTTACTACTATAGCTAACGACGAAGAGAAAGAACAAAAAAAAAACAAATACAATATTGAATTTACTCTCTGAACAGCAAAAAAGAAAACGGTGGGTAAACCTGACGCATGAAATGGGATATTGGGTGGGAGGAGGGGATATATATAAAGAACACAAAAGAAAAGGAGGTATGTAGAATCTAACCCTTACTTTCTTCAAGCATGAAAGCGTAAAGTAAAAGCTAGCTAAGTAGAGGAAAGACTTTCATTGACCCAAAAAAGAAGAGCTTGGAGATGGAAAGGTCAGGGTGGGGTAACCTGGGATGTAGAAATGTGCAGGTAACAGGCAAGAGGAAAAAACTTTGTATATATATATATATATATACGTATAAGTAGAACTTGAGGGTGCGGCAAACAGCAGCACAAGGAGAGGAGGAAAAGGAAGAGATGATAGATATCAGATATACTCCGACGTAGTATGTATCAAACTCGGATACCACAAGCAACAAGCAAAAGACACGACCCAAAAAAACAGTCCAAACCACTAAAGGGCGAGGATAACGTATGCGCAGCAATCAAAACCGATACGAGGGCACCACCATTTCGAAAGGTGAAAAGCGACAAAAAAGCAAGTAGAATGGGTAAGAGGTGGTGAGAGAGCATCCCAGAATATCTCCGTCTTGTCCACCTGCCCATGTAAATTCGAGTCCAACCAGTGACACGGAGAGAGAAAGAGAGAGAGAGAGAGAGAGTAGTAAAGGGAAAGCGAGAAAGAGAATGTTGTTTTTGTTATGTGAGGGGAGTAGAATATACAGCACAGATGGACATTGACGGGAAAAATCCCAGATTCTCCGCTCAACCAGCTCAAAATCCACAAAAACAAAACTTCGATACTTGTTTTTTTCTTCTTCAAAACTTGACACCCGTTGTCAACCATAACGTTTGGTTTTTCAGGCTACGGGTGTTTTAGATACCACCATAGGCATCTTCAGGATCATACACAGTATCCGGCCTCTTCTGTCCATCCTTCCTATCCTCAGCATCAGCTCTCGGCACCGCAATGTCCTCCTTCCCAAACTCCTGCTTCTCAGCCATGGGCGTATGAATCACAAAACTACTAGCCAACGGACTGGGCGTAGTCGGGAACCCGTTCATACTCAACGACACATTCGTCATTTGACTCGTCCTAGGATATACATTCGAGAAATCATAAGACCCAAAAGACGTCCTCGACTGGACACGAATTTCGGGTAACGTAGGCGGAGTAGGCGGGATGTCAAAGTTGTATCTCGAGGACTTGGTCACGGAAGGAGAGGGTGGGACAGGGAAGTCAAGGTCGCCTTCTTCCGAGACATCTTGGGAGTCTATGGTACGTCTGGATTCCCTCTTCGATTCCCTCTTTGACTCCCTTCTGGTTCCCGTCTCGGTTTCACTCTTACTACTCTGGGCCGGCTCGGGGTCCTTAAATGGAGAGACAGCACCACCCACGACGTCCTTCTCACTAGCACTGGCACTACCACTGCGACGCCGAGCTTCAGGATGAGCCTGCATATAAGCATCCACAGCGGGCGTGTCCAGACCCTCAGGAGGCGAACTGCTTATCCTCTTCGAAATCTCATAGTACTGAGCAGCCTGGAACGGAGTCACACTAGTCCTCGAGAGATCCAAATACTCGCTCGACGGTAACGGCACGCTGCGACGAGCAGCATCCTGCGAAAGGTCCGGATAGGTTGCATATTGTGAAGTGTGAGCTTGCATATGATTCGTCGAATGAGCCGAACTTCGAGTGGCCTTGGTTGCTAAAGTGTTGCTCGAAGTTTTGCGACTGAGTGTCTTGTCCGACTCGTCTTCTTCACGAGATGCCTTGCCTAAGAATTGAGTACCCAAAAGCTGTGGCGGTATGTTTTGGTGCATAGCGGCTCCGTAAGCACCAGGACCAAAAGCGCCTGCATTGGGAGACTCAAGGGAAGGCGCAATAGGAGA